TCTATATTTCATTGGTTGCCATTCAGTGCACACATAATGTGTCGCAAAACTATTGGTCCATTCCTTTCACTCCACCCAACACTACATGTCGTCACTCATCGCCGCAATTGTTTCACAAGTTTTGAAAGTTTTTATCATTCATTACATCATTATTTCATTCGCTATTTAATCCACTATTGGTTTTACAATTGGATTATCAATTCATATGGTTTTTTGTAGGCATATGTATTGTATGGCCCACTTATAACAAGTGGTGGCTATCTATACATTGTTTTGAATGCAAACGAGCGCTACTTTCTGTTGGACATCATTTCATAATTACCAATATTCCCGAGTTTTATAACTATTAATTAATTTATAGTCAAATTTCTAATAAATTGCAGACATCTATGCATTAAGAAATTGTGTTTCACATGAGTTATTCCATTCACCAGAAATATAATCCTTTAAACTCTGTATAAATAAATAGAATGTGACCATAACTCGGGTATTTGTGGCCATTGGCACGATCTGTCACAGGAACACTCATCTCGTGACCACACTCTACCCATACATACTGAAGATATCGTGATTATCGATTACCCCATTCACTGATTTGTCAGTAGTAATAAAATCATATTCTGCTATAAATACATAAATATTAATAAATTCTGTTAAATAATTCATTCATTCAGCATGCTAAAATACTATATACATCATGGTATTTTATGAAATATTGTAACTATACGTAAGCATTGTTAAGCGCATTTGTTGAACCAAAACATGTAGTATCTAGTAATTATTAATATTGCGATATATTTACGATATCGATAAGTTTATAAGAAATATAAAAATACAAATAATTATAACTTAAGAGAAATATAAGGTGAAGGTCAAACTTATACATATATTATTAACTTACAGTATTTCATACATACAAAGTATTTAATTGTAAGTGATTTTAATTCATTTAAGTTAAAACACATTTTAAAATTTTTATCGTGAAGCTCTGTTCTCAATGATGTGTGTAATTTTAAAATACTTTTTAACTATTAATGTTTCAATTAGTAGTTCAATTATTTGTACAACTAAAAGTAATATTTTGGTTAAAAGTAAATTGTTATTATTAATTACAAACTAATTGTATAATTGAATGAGTAAATTGCGTTAACTTGTATTTATTTACCTCGCGTTTGAATTAAATAGTTTTACTGAATTTTGTTAAGCATTAAGTTATTTACACAAAAAATATCAAATTCAATGCCTGTTGTTGTCTGTGAGTAAAACTCTTGAAATCGATTTCATAACATGTGATACGTTTAAAGAGAAGTCTGTCTCATATATTACTTCAAAACAGGTTTTGGATGTGGTTTTGCTGTAAAAGAACTCAAATATTGAATTTGAGACAATTTTTACGAGAATGGCTGATATTGTATATTGACTGTGATATAAATGATACACTCTATGAATATGCAGTTGGGCTTAAATATGTTGCCACTGATCCTCTCACAGAATGGAAAAACTAATTTCACATTAAAAATTAACATAAAGAATCAATTTTCAACGTTTAGTACATTTGATGACAATTACATTATTGGTTTAATAAATTTAATTATAACTTCAATAAAACAATGTTTTTAAATTGAGAATTGAAAATAAGACTTTTTAGATGTCACGGAAATAACTTATTCTTTATTTCTGGAATGGATTGCATTGTTCTTAATGTTAAATCAATTCATTTATTTTATAAAAAGTTTTAAATGAATTGTTTGAAAAATTGATCTCATTTGAACCAACACTACTATTTGCTTACATGAACAAGAATTAGATGGCATGAACGTGGTTATGCCTGGTAATGATCGTCAAAATAAGAACCTGCCTTAATATAACATTTGTATCAGTCATTATCTCTACAGGAGTCCAATAGTTTGTCCTTTAGTTTGATTTTTCAATGCTTTCTTCGCACAATTTTTCCGTTTGTAATAGTTTTGTGACTTTATTATCAAACAATACAGAACTTTGAATAAAGTTTTTGTGAACAACTTATTATGATTTCGGAAATTATAATATTTTCGTTGATTTATATAACAATTAGATGTGTTTTGTGGTACAGAAGACGTATTGAAATTCACAAAATATTTGCAAAGAATGGTATAAGAGGTCCGAAACCGTCATTAATTTCTGNGAAATTCACAAAATATTTGCAAAGAATGGCATAAGAGGTCCGAAACCGTCATTAATTTCTGGTAATTTTTATGAACTCAAAGAGAATCCAAACGAAACATTTGACGAATGGATAGCGGAATACGGGAATCATTTCGGATACTTCTTAGGCGACAGACCTATACTCATGATCAGTGATTTGGATGTCATTCAAAACATATTTCTCAAAAATAGCAAACAATTCAAAGACCGGCCAAAATTCTTTCTCAACGCCAAACCATTTGTGTCTTCAGTTCTCGCTCTGAGAGGAGAGCGTTGGCGTCACGTCCGCCGACTTATGACTCCGTTTTTCACTCACCATAAGATCAGTTCTCAAGAGATTACAGATATTGTAGTGAATTCTGTGGACACTTGTGTTTTAAAAATAATGACACAAAAGGAACAAATAGTTAAAGTCGATGATAGGATGCAATCAATAACTTTGGATATCATATGCAAGTGTGGACTTAATATGTATGACACGGATGTTCACGAAGAGAACAGCCAACTGAAGAGTGCGGCGAAAGAGTTCATGGCTTCGGCTCACAATTCGGTGGTCATCTTTGCCACATTTTTTCCATTTTTGCGACCGATTCTCTCCTTTATTAACAATTATCTAACGGCTGGACGAATGGCTGATTGGATTCTCCGTCATCTTAATAAACAAATTCAAACCGAGACTCAAAACTTGTCCGCAAACCCTAATTATTCAATTGACACGAAATCAAATAATGTGTTGAAATCAATGTTAAAGTGCTTTTTAGAGAAAAAGTTAGAAAGGGATGAATTGACGGGAAATGCACTCATTCTTCTATTGGCCGCTTATGACACCACGTCTATGGGACTGACGTATGCTTTCTATTGTTTAGCCAAACATCAAGACATTCAGAACACACTTCGCGAGGAAATTGGTTTACATGGATATCAATCACGTTATGTCGATATGGTTTGTGTGCAAAAACTATAAATAATATTTTGGTTTATATTACAATTAATTAATAATAAAACTAATGTAAGAACAGGTGTGGAGCGAATCATTACGTCTGTTCCCACCCGTCGCTACCTTCGCCCAAAGGGAAGCCGCGGAAGACGTGGTCTTAAATGATATATTTATACAAAAGGGAACTATAGTTCAACTGCCCATTTGGCACATCAATCACGACCCGAACATATGGCCAGAGCCGCATAAATTCAATCCTCAAAGGTTTCTACCAGAAAATAGGTTTGTGAAGACATTTGCGACAAAAATGTTGACAAATTTTAATATAATTACAAATTCTAATACGAATAAAATTTTATTTAAAAAAAACTTAAATTGATTGAATTGTAGTGATGGAGATGAGAGAGCCCGGGCATCATTCCTGACGTTTGGTTTGGGGCCGCGAACCTGTATGGGCATAGAGTTGGCTCGACATGAGGCCAGATATACGCTCTCAAAAATGGTGCAAAAGTTCCGAATCGAAACGTGCGCTCAAACTCCCGATCCATTAGAGCTGATCTGTCCCACAGAGATCTTGTATCCAAAAGATGGTCTCTATTTACGATTTATTCCACTAAATGAATGAATTGTTGACATTTAATACTAAATCTATGATCAAATTGATTGTCACTCAAATCAACTGAAATTAAATCAAATCCATTATTACTGAATTAATTTCTCTCATAATTTATGAGTCATAAACAGTGAAATTAAATTTTTATCATAAAAATTTTTTTATTAAAAATGGATAATAATGTTGTGAAATATAAGACAATAATGATATTTTGAATATGAAAGTTGTCAAACAACTTGATCGAATAATAATATTAAAATATATAACTTTTTATTGATTGGTTAATTGTTGAATGGCTAATATTTGTTGTATACATTTAATATAATGAAATTAAATGTTTTATAATTTTCTAAACTTCATATTCCTTTAGAACTGAATTCAAACATTGAGTGTTCACTAAAATACAAATCATTTATACTTTTAGCCACTTTTTATACTATTATT